GTGCGGCTGGAGGCATCCATCTACCTGGCAGCCTGCAAAGTTCGACGTTTGGAAGCCGTCTCAGTGTGTCTCAGCGCTCGGAGGGCATGCAGCCTGCAGACTTTGACGTTTGGTAGGTTGGCCACCAGAGTTCAGAAAGCATCCAACTGTCCAGCAGAGTTTCATGTTTGGTAGAAACTAGAATTGGAGAGCATCCAACTGTCCAGCCGCCTGTAGAGTTTGATGTTAGCTGCCTCGTGCGGCTGGAGGCATCCATCTACCTGGCAGCCTGCAAAGTTCGACGTTTGGAAGCCGTCTCAGTGTGTCTCAGTGCTCGGGGGGCATGCAGCCTGCAGACTTTGACGTTTGGTAGGTTGGCCACCAGAGTTCAGAAAGCATCCAACTGTCCAGCAGAGTTTCATGTTTGGTAGAAGCTAGAATTGGAGAGCATCCAACTGTCCAGCCGCCTGCAGAGTTTAATGTTAGCTGCTTCGTGCGGCTGGAGGCATCCATGTACCTGGCAGCCTGCAAAGTTCGACGTTTGGAAGCTGTCTCAGTGCCTCTGAGTGCTCGGAGGGCATGCAGCCTGCAGACTTTGACGTTTGGTAGGTTGGCCGCCAGAGTTCAGAAAGCATCCAACTGTCCAGCAGCTTGCAGGGTTTCATGTTTGTTCGCGTGCACAGCGTTTTTAAGCTTTTGAGGCATCGAACTACCCAGCAGCCTGCGAACGACGTAGGGTTGGTTCCTCAGATCGCCACTACTTGACAGCTTGCACAGTTGGACGTTTGGTCGATCAGCCAGAGTTTGGACGTCTCACTACCCAGCATGCAGAGTTTCATGTTTTTGAGCCTTGCGCCATCGAGCTTGGAGGGCATCCCACTTCTCGTAGCTTGCAGAGTTTCGCTTGGTCGCCTGTTGAACCAGAGTTTGGAGCATCCAACCTGCGAAGTTCAACGTATTGTGTGTGGGTGAGTGAGAGAGACGAAGAGAGAGATATAGAGGGGAGTATGCCTGCATCTGCGAATGCGTGCGTGCGTGGCTGCGTGGCTGGGTGGCTGGGTGGCTGAGTGGGTGGGTGGGTGGGTGGGTGGGTGGGCGCGTCAGTGAGTCATGGAGTGACTGCGTGACTCGTGGTCTGTGCATTGGCAAATTTTTTCGAAACGGCACGAAAGTGTTGCAAAAACCCAGACAGAACGAAGAAAGAAACGTCCGAAAACGTGGAAAAACATTTTCCGAATGCAGTGGTAGTGAATGTGCGGGTTTGGAACCGCGGCCTATGCAAGGCTAACCTGCTGTGAAAGTGTTGCTAAAGACAAGAAGAAGCGAAGCAAAATCTAGCCGAAGGCTTCAAAAGCAATTTTTCGGCAGGTTTCTGCAAGAAATGCGCGGTTTTTAAATCGTAGTCTGTGCGTTGGCAAATTTTTTTCGAAACGGCACGAAAGTGTTGCAAAAACCCATACAGAACGAAGAAAGAAACGTCCGAAAACGTTGAAAAACATTTTCCGAATGCAGTGGTAGTGACTGTGCGGGTTTGGAACCGTGGCCTATGCAAGGCTAACCTGCTGTGAAAGTGTTGCTAAAGACAAGAAGAAGCGAAGCAAAATCTAGCCGAAGGCTTCAAAAGCAATTTTTCGGCAGGTTGCTGCAAGGAATGCGCGGTTTTTAAATCGTAGTCTGCGCGTTGGCAATTTTAGCGAAACGGCACGAAAGTGTTGCAAAAACCCATACAGAACGAAGAAAGAAACGTCCGAAAACGTTGAAAAACATTTTCCGAATGCAGTGGTAGTGAATGTGCGGGTTTGGAACCGCGGCCTATGCAAGGCTAACCTGCTGTGAAAGTGTTGCTAAAGACAAGAGGATATGGACACATCCCCACGGCCAAGAAGCCCGAGGTGGATGCCAACCCCGTATCCTGGTCAGAAGATGGCGGTTGGGGTGCGCTGGACTTGTTTGCCGAGTCGCAGAGACCATGGATGGCTGAAGTCTGGAAGCGTAGACACGAGGACCTTTGGTTTGGGCTGAAAAGTGTTCTTGTGCATCGGAGTCCTTGCGTTTTTGCGTGCAGGTTTCTGGCATAATGTTCCGTAATGAGACCTAGCTCAACCTTGGACTTACAGGAGTCCGCAAAAACGGCCAGCGGAAGCCAACAGAGCTCCAAAAGGCCGAAGTTCAACAAATTGGATTTGACTTCCATCATGCTGGCGAAGAACTTGACGACCAAGGCTGCCGTGCTGGCATATGCCCAAGACCATGGCACGGCCGAGATGCAGGTCTTCGTTCACGCGCATCAGAGAAAGCTTGCGGACTTTCTGCAAGAAGCCGCCGACTGGGGAATGGCACGCTCCGCGGCAGCGGCCGAAAAAGATCTGGACTGGGATCTGGTCTGCCGTACAGCGCAGGAAGCCTGCCCACATGATGGGAGCTGCACCTATGCCGCAGCCGTGCAAGCGTTCTTCTCGGCCAATGCAGCGTGTGTGTCGCAGCAGGAGCTGGCAACGGCCCTGCGGGCGATCATTCGCTCAGGCCCTTCGAAGACAACACGGGTGCCGCTTCTTGCAGGTCCCACGAATTCTGGGAAGACAACCATCTTGCTTCCCTTTGATGATCTTTTCGGGTTCAAGCACGTTTTCCACAAGCCTGCATTGAACTCCAAGTTCGCGCTTCGCAATCTGTTGAAAGAGAAGCGGTTCTTGTTCTGGGATGACTACAGACCTGTGGAATACGCCCAGGAGACTCTACCAGTCACTGCGTTTTTGAGCTTGTTTCAGGGCCAGCCCCTCGAGGTGCAAGTCTCGCAGGCCTTCAACGATGGCAATGTGGACTTTGAGTGGCATCGTGGATGCATTATGACCGCCAAGTCCGAGGGCCTCTGGGTGCCATATGGTAGCGTCTCCCAGGAAGATGTGCGCCACATGCAGAGCCGTGTCCATGTTTTCACGGCCACCGCCACCGTCCGTCATCTCCAGGACACGCAGCCCTGCAAGCAGTGCATGTGCGCGTGGATCCGCGACGCGGCAGCGCAGCACGATGCAGAGCAGGTGGTCCGTGTCGTGGGGCCGCCCAGAGCCGTGGAACCAGCATCAGAAGCTGCGGGTGTGGCTGGACTTGCAGCTCTATGTGTGCAAGCCCGCCTGCCCGCGGAGAAGATGCAGCACATGGATGCCGAGCTCCACGCTTTGGGTGCCGTGCATGTGACGGAGCTTAGTGTAGAAGATTGGAGGCGCTTGCAATCTTGGGGGGAGTTGCTGCCTTTCGAGCAGCGCCGCCTCCTGTCGGCAGTCAGCAGCTAAAGCGCTGTCTGATCACCTGGTGTCGAGGAACGAAAGAGTCGTGCGGTCGGCCACGGCAAAACTGTGCGCCAGCTGCACCACGAGCCTTTCAAACTTAATCGCTGTGCCAGGCGGCGGATTTCGGGAGAGCGCTTTGGTCTGCCTTTGCTTTGGGTCCCAGAAAGCCGGTCTATGTCATCTGCAAATGCAGGAAAAACCGCGTCAGGTTAACGCCACCGATGCTGTGGATGTTGACTGGCAGGGTTACAAACGTGCGAACCATTACCTGCTCCTTTCATTCGCAGCGTCACGAAACTCCGCAAGTCTAGCAGAAACCTGGACGTCTGGGCCTTCCGCAGAGCCGGAGGATAAGCGCGAAGTGATGGCTACGTGATGGGCTGAAAGCCAACCGAAGGCGCGGAAAAATGTTTGAAGACCACAGGGAGCATTGACTAGCTGGAGATGCTCAAGCCCGCCGAAAGTTCGACCAAAATGGTGTTAAGTTTTGAGGCAAAGATTGCGGCGAGCCTGTTCTAGAGGTGCAAAAACCGTAGGACAGATTGTAGCGACGCAATGTCTCTTTCAAAATGTAAGACCGTGTCATACACCATTTTTTTCGAACTTTCTGCGGGGTTTAGGATCTCCAACCCCAGAGAAACTTCGACAAAAACCTTAGAGCTGACAGTTTTTGAGGTTAGATACGCGCCGCACCGTAGGAAACTCTTCCGACAAGCAGAGGCACAGAGGAGGAGCTGCGCGAGCAGATCTTGGTGTTGTGCAGAGACGTGCAAGAGTCAGGGTGCTGGAAGGTGGCACAACACATGCTTACATCACAAACTTGGAGGACGAGAGCCGCGCTGCGTGAAATTTCCCTTTCCATGCGTATGCACTGTGCACAGCATGCGACTTCTCCGAGCTTTTGCAACCGTTCTGAAGTGTCTTCAGTGCTGCTATGTCCTTCTGACCTCAGCTTGTGCTGACTGTTGGGCTTGGAACGCCGGCCAGGCAGGTGGAAGGTGGGATGGCTGAGGCTACAAGGCAGAGCTTGGAGAGTGGAAGTTGTTGGAGGTCACGATGCGTGAAGGTCTACAGGCACGCTGCACTCCCTGTCACGACCCAGTTGACCAGAGGTTTGGCCAGTTCCCGTGCTGACGGCCGCGCTGTGCAGAAGAGGCGGGCTTTGACACAAGTGGAGGGTGGAACAGCTGCCCAGGCAGCGCTCTGAACACGAAGGTCTAGGAGTGTAGGAATGCCTGCAGGCAGTGGAAGCTCTTCAACGCACTTGTGAGCAGGTGTTGCCAGCTCCCGTGACGACGGCCGTGCTGTGCAAGACCAGCGTCAAAATGTGCTGCGGATAGTTTCTTGTCTCTGGAAGCAGCTGCCGTCCGTACTTGCAGCCTTTCCCGCTCCATGTGTCTTTGCTTCGGCCTCCGTTTCCAACCAAGTCATTAAATCCAGCTAGACTCTCGTATTCACGCTTGAATCCAGATTTCCCCGCACCCCCTTAATTTCAATGTTGCAGTGGACAGTCTGCTGCTGCTGTGAGGGGGCACTGCCGGTCTGGCTGGCTGGAAGAAACGAACATTGAAATTGGGGGGCGGGGGGGCCAATCTGTATGATTTTGTAACATTGGGTGAGGCTACTTTCTGCTTCGGATGCAGAGGAAAAGTCCAGGACCAGTTTCGGTACCCTGCGAGTTGTGCAGGGCTCTGCGGGACAAGTCATCCATCATATGCACCTGTTCGTGTTGGAATGACGGGGCCGTGCTGCAATGCTATTTTGGCTTCTGCAGTTTTTTCCTCTGCTGTCTGTAGCTCGCTGGCCAGTTCTCGTGGACCCTGCCTCATGGGAGAGGCGGCCGAAGACATGGAAGAGTTGGGCGGCCGTGCCGAAGGCAGGGCTGATGGCGGCGGCAACCGTGGCGGCGAGGCACCAGCTGTGCAGGACTGGTTGGGCATGCCAAGGTTTTTGCTGTTTTTGTGAGTATCTCACACAGTAGGTTTGGTAATTGGTTCTGAGCCAGGCATTACGCAGAGTACAGAAATGCATGGCGTCGGTGAGAAAAGCTTTGAGTCGATCCAAAGCACGTGCGGCGACGCTGCATTTGACCGTGCGGGAAGCGAGCATCGTGTTGGCGATATATTTGTTGTCGCGGTACAATCTCAATGCTGTGGCATTGTATGTGGCTTCAAGAAATGCGGTCCGGCAGCAACCGAGCCACAGTGCAGCAGAGGTGCGTGAGTTGACAGAAAGCCTGTACTTAGAAACTTCCATCGACGAACTGATTGCTTTGGAGTGTGGGGAACCTGGAAGACACGCGCGTGTCCGACACGCAGCAGTGTCGTTTTTGGCGGAACTGCGAACAGTTGAATGGTTGGAGTCTCAAAACATGCTCGGCGCCGCCCCTAGCTCGGCTGCCATGGCCAGCAAGTATCTGATGTTTTGCGAAGCTTTTCATGACTCCCGGTGGGACGGTGCGCTGGCGAGGGCGGTCCACAACAATTCGCTGAATCACAGCGCTGGGCGGTACTTGCGCAAGTGGTCTGCAGACTTCCGCGAACGCTGGAATGTTGCTTTTCGAGTGCTTTCGGTGAAGCCTCCTGCACCTTGCGCAGAGCTTGCGGCGAAGGTCTGGCGAAGAAAACAGTGAAGCCCGAATCGGCTTCAGAAAGTCCCCGGTAGTATATGGGCGCGTGAGTAATGAAGCCAAATTGTGGCCTCAAATTCTGACACCATAGTGGCCTCAAACATGTGCATCCTTTAGGTTGCTCTGGGTCCTCTGACTCTTTGTGTTCAGGTAAAAACTCTGTGGCAGTGGGTGTTCTGGCTACGCCACTGCTGTATCGGCGTTGGCAAGATTCCAATCTTGCTGAACTTGGATGAAAGCTACATCCCCTGGAGCCCTGGCTCACTTGCTGGCAATGTTCTTCGCAAGACCAGAGTGACGGGCGCGAAGCGTCGCAGGGGAGGCTTTACTTATACGCCCATCATCTGCACGAATGAAGCTTTGCAGCCCTTGCTGCCCCGTTTCCTTGTGGCCAAGCGTTCTGTTCTCAGCGCTCGAGCAGTGCGGACTGTTTCTGCTCAGAAGCCGGACAACCTACATATTTGGCGTGAGGCAAGCGCGTGGTCAACGGTTCGGGTGATGAAACGTGTACTCGAGGAACTGTCACATGTAATGGCTGCTTTCCCGGCCTTCCAAGCAATCTTGCTTCTGGATTGTCATGCTTCCCACATTCACCCCGACACGGTGCGCGCCGCGAACAACAGCAACATCTGGATGGCTGTCATTCCAGCAGGCCTAACTGGGCTGATTCAGCCTTTGGACACACTGGCCTTTTCGGCTTTCAAGTTCCATCTCAAACAGCAATTTCAGATGGGTCTGGGAGAGAGCGAGACACTGCCAGAGGATTTTTTACGCCGAGTCTTTGCTTTGAGCCAGACCTTTTTCAATGGAAGGAAATGGAAGGCAGGTTTTGCGTCTTTGGGGTTGGAGCCGGAGGCCCCTGTTCGCTTATCGCGTGATCTTCGACCATATCAAGAAGCCCTCGCGCTGGTACCTTCAAGTGCGCCCACTGGCGACCAGCTTGCTTCAATTTTTCCTCGTAATTACGTCTTGACAGATGATCTTTTCGACGCATGGACTCGTCTTGCGCGTGGTCGGCACCTGCGTTTGCGCTTGGTTTGAGGCGCGCCGGTAAAGGCTGAACTCGGGGGGTACTGTTTCATGTCCTCTAGACTTGTTCCAGTCCGCGAGGCTACTTTCTGGCACGGACACACGGTAGAAAAAACAGCCCAGCGGAGTCTGCAGGGTGCTGCTAAAATGCGTCTGTGCGTCAAACCTGGCAGGAGAGCTTGGACACGCAGCTCGCCCGCCTGAAACAGGCTAGAAAGGATCTGAAAGAATCCATGAAGAGGGCGACTCGGGCATTGAAGAGCGCGAAGCAGAAGAAGCAAAGGCGCCTTCTCTGCAAGAAGTTTTGCCCCTAACAAGCACCAATACATGTTAATCGGAGGCTGCTCAAGCAAGCGCGGCGCCTGTCAGATGCAGATTTGAGCGAAGTGGTGAGAATGCGGCTGGGAGGGTGAACGTGCGGTGTTTCTGTAGCTTGTCGTGGGCTTTGTCTTGCCCTAGCAATGTACAGAATGCCCGTGTGGAGATCTGTATAGGATGCTTGCAGGCCGTCCTGCAGCAGTGTTTCTGCTCCTCGCTTGGCGTGCTGGGCGTTGTCTTTGCCGCAGCACTGTAGAGAAGTGCTCGTTTTAGGATCTGTACAGATAGATGCTTGCAGGCCGTCCTGCGGTAGTGTTTCTGCTCTGGCGTGGTGGGCGTTGTCTTTGCCATTCTTTGCCGCACCAATGTACAGAACGCCCGTGTACATATCTGTACAAATAAGATGCTTGCAGGCCGTCCTGTGTGTTGTAGCCTTCCCCGCGAGCCACAGCGCCGTACAGTAGAGCACAGAGCTGCACTCGTGAACTCTTTGCAACCTACCAGACCTGCTGGGTACTCACAAACGCGCAATGCTGCAATGACATGTATTGTGGCTGCAAGTCTGCTGCGGTGAGCGTCTTGTAACTTAGAGTAGCTTCTGGCTTGTTTAGAACGGGATGCGTGCACTGTTGTGTGCTTCACGCCCGACTCTTCAAGCTGCAACACACTACTGTGACTGCCACAGCCAGAAAGCGTCCCAGGGCACGAGACTGTCACTGCATTTCACCGCCATAGTTGGCATGGTCTGTGGCTTGCTTATGTCTGACTGCTCAGAAGGGTTTTGGAACTGCTGCAGAAATCTCAGGGACCATCCGCGTCCTGGCACACCTCGAAACACGAACACGCGAAACAGATCCTGAGATCCGCATGAAGCTTTTGATGGCCACTGCGGCAGGCCAGACTTCAGAAAGCATCCAACTGTTCAGTAGAGTTTTCGACAGCATCCAACTGTCCAGCCGCCTGCATTGTTTGATTTCAGCTGCCTCGTGCGGCTGGAGGCATCCATCTACCTGGCAGCCTGCAAAGTTCGACGTTTGGAAGCCGTCTCAGTGTGTCTCAATGCTCGGAGGGCATGCAGCCTGCAGACTTTGATGTTTGGTAGGTTGGCCACCAGAGTTCAGAAAGCATCCAACTGTCCAGCAGAGTTTCATGTTTGGTGGAAACTAGAATTGGAGAGCATCCAACTGTCCAGCCGCCTGCAGAGTTTGATGTTAGCTGCCTCGTGCGGCTGGAGGCATCCATCTACCTGGCAGCCTGCAAAGTTCGACGTTTGGAAGCCGTCTCAGTGTGTCTCAGCGCTCGGAGGGCATGCAGCCTGCAGACTTTGACGTTTGGTAGGTTGGCCACCAGAGTTCAGAAAGCATCCAACTGTCCAGCAGAGTTTCATGTTTGGTAGAAACTAGAATTGGAGAGCATCCAACTGTCCAGCCGCCTGCAGAGTTTGATGTTAGCTGCCTCGTGCGGCTGGAGGCATCCATCTACCTGGCAGCCTGCAAAGTTCGACGTTTGGAAGCCGTCTCAGTGTGTCTCAGCGCTCGGAGGGCATGCAGCCTGCAGACTTTGACGTTTGGTAGGTTGGCCACCAGAGTTCAGAAAGCATCCAACTGTCCAGCAGAGTTTCATGTTTGGTGGAAACTAGAATTGGAGAGCATCCAACTGTCCAGCCGCCTGTAGAGTTTGCTGTTAGCTGCCTCGTGCGGCTGGAGGCATCCATCTACCTGGCAGCCTGCAAAGTTCGACGTTTGGAAGCCGTCTCAGTGTGTCTCAGCGCTCGGAGGGCATGCAGCCTGCAGACTTTGACGTTTGGTAGGTTGGCCACCAGAGTTCAGAAAGCATCCAACTGTCCAGCAGAGTTTCATGTTTGGTAGAAACTAGAATTGGAGAGCATCCAACTGTCCAGCCGCCTGCAGAGTTTGATGTTAGCTGCCTCGTGCGGCTGGAGGCATCCATCTACCTGGCAGCCTGCAAAGTTCGACGTTTGGAAGCCGTCTCAGTGTGTCTCAGCGCTCGGAGGGCATGCAGCCTGCAGACTTTGACGTTTGGTAGGTTGGCCACCAGAGTTCAGAAAGCATCCAACTGTCCAGCAGAGTTTCATGTTTGGTAGAAACTAGAATTGGAGAGCATCCAACTGTCCAGCCGCCTGTAGAGTTTGATGTTAGCTGCCTCGTGCGGCTGGAGGCATCCATCTACCTGGCAGCCTGCAAAGTTCGACGTTTGGAAGCCGTCTCAGTGTGTCTCAGTGCTCGGGGGGCATGCAGCCTGCAGACTTTGACGTTTGGTAGGTTGGCCACCAGAGTTCAGAAAGCATCCAACTGTCCAGCAGAGTTTCATGTTTGGTAGAAGCTAGAATTGGAGAGCATCCAACTGTCCAGCCGCCTGCAGAGTTTAATGTTAGCTGCTTCGTGCGGCTGGAGGCATCCATGTACCTGGCAGCCTGCAAAGTTCGACGTTTGGAAGCTGTCTCAGTGCCTCTGAGTGCTCGGAGGGCATGCAGCCTGCAGACTTTGACGTTTGGTAGGTTGGCCGCCAGAGTTCAGAAAGCATCCAACTGTCCAGCAGCTTGCAGGGTTTCATGTTTGTTCGCGTGCACAGCGTTTTTAAGCTTTTGAGGCATCGAACTACCCAGCAGCCTGCGAACGACGTAGGGTTGGTTCCTCAGATCGCCACTACTTGACAGCTTGCACAGTTGGACGTTTGGTCGATCAGCCAGAGTTTGGACGTCTCACTACCCAGCATGCAGAGTTTCATGTTTTTGAGCCTTGCGCCATCGAGCTTGGAGGGCATCCCACTTCTCGTAGCTTGCAGAGTTTCGCTTGGTCGCCTGTTGAACCAGAGTTTGGAGCATCCAACCTGCGAAGTTCAACGTATTGTGTGTGGGTGAGTGAGAGAGACGAAGAGAGAGATATAGAGGGGAGTATGCCTGCATCTGCGAATGCGTGCGTGCGTGGCTGCGTGGCTGGGTGGCTGGGTGGCTGAGTGGGTGGGTGGGTGGGTGGGTGGGTGGGCGCGTCAGTGAGTCATGGAGTGACTGCGTGACTCGTGGTCTGTGCATTGGCAAATTTTTTCGAAACGGCACGAAAGTGTTGCAAAAACCCAGACAGAACGAAGAAAGAAACGTCCGAAAACGTGGAAAAACATTTTCCGAATGCAGTGGTAGTGAATGTGCGGGTTTGGAACCGCGGCCTATGCAAGGCTAACCTGCTGTGAAAGTGTTGCTAAAGACAAGAAGAAGCGAAGCAAAATCTAGCCGAAGGCTTCAAAAGCAATTTTTCGGCAGGTTTCTGCAAGAAATGCGCGGTTTTTAAATCGTAGTCTGTGCGTTGGCAAATTTTTTTCGAAACGGCACGAAAGTGTTGCAAAAACCCATACAGAACGAAGAAAGAAACGTCCGAAAACGTTGAAAAACATTTTCCGAATGCAGTGGTAGTGACTGTGCGGGTTTGGAACCGTGGCCTATGCAAGGCTAACCTGCTGTGAAAGTGTTGCTAAAGACAAGAAGAAGCGAAACAAAATCTAGCCGAAGGCTTCAAAAGCAATTTTTCGGCAGGTTGCTGCAAGGAATGCGCGGTTTATAAATCGTAGTCTGTGCGTTGGCAATTTTAGCGAAACGGCACGAAAGTGTTGCAAAAACCCATACAGAACGAAGAAAGAAACGTCCGAAAACGTTGAAAAACATTTTCCGAATGCAGTGGTAGTGAATGTGCGGGTTTGGAACCGCGGCCTATGCAAGGCTAACCTGCTGTGAAAGTGTTGCTAAAGACAAGAAGAAGCGAAACAAAATCTAGCCGAAGGCTTCAAAAGCAATTTTTCGGCAGGTTGCTGCAAGGAATGCGCGGTTTATAAATCGTAGTCTGTGCGTTGGCAATTTTAGCGAAACGGCACGAAAGTGTTGCAAAAACCCATACAGAACGAAGAAAGAAACGTCCGAAAACGTTGAAAAACATTTTCCGAATGCAGTGGTAGTGAATGTGCGGGTTTGGAACCGCGGCCTATGCAAGGCTAACCTGCTGTGAAAGTGTTGCTAAAGACAAGAAGAAGCGAAGCAAAATCTAGCCGAAGGCTTCAAAGGCAATTTGCTGCTGTAGGGAATGCGTGGGTTTTGAATCGCAGTCTGTGCGTTGACACACTTGCGCGACACGCCGCAATATGTTGCACAAACCCATACAGAACGAAGAAAGAAACGTCCGAAAACGTTGAAAAACATTTTCCGAATGCAGTGGTAGTGAATGTGCGGGTTTGGAACCGTGGCGTATGCAATGCCAAACTGCTGTGAAAGTGTTGTTAAAGACCCGAAGAAACGCAGCAGCCGAAGGCTTCAAAAGCAATTGTGGGCATGCCGCTGTAAGGAATGCGCGGGTTTTGAATCGCAGTCTGTGCCAGTCTGTGCGTTGACAAACTTGCTCGAAACACAGCAAATATGTTGCACAAACCCAAAAACCATAAAGAATACGCCGGAAAGGCTTGAACAACAATTTTCCGAATGCTGTGGTACTGAATCTGCGGCTTTGGAACCGGGGCGTGTGCAAGGCGAATGCGCGGGTTGTGGGTCGTGGTCTACGCATTGGCAAACTTTGTGGAAACGCCGCGAACGTCTGAGCCAAAAGAAGGCGAAAGGAAGAACGATGCGTTCGAAAGGCTTGACAAAGAAGTTTCGAATGCAGGGGTAGGGAATGTTGCTTTTGAGTGAGTCACTG